CCCGAGTTAGAATCCCCCTATATACCCTACTAACGACATTCTCGTCGTCAAGTATCCTCAAGATATGAACCACAAGCTTTGTTAAAATGATGGCACTGGAGAGTTCAAGCCGTGGAATCGTGAGTCGCTTTAAGGGTGCAACTTTGGTTTTTGATGCGATTAGGTTGGTAGTCACGCTTCCATCTTCATTGGTGGTTCGCAGGTAAACACTTGCCGCCATGGCGTGTTGTGAAGCGTCACAAAATCCATGAATTTCCACTGTACTATTGGCTTGGCCTCCAAGCCATCGTGGGAAGTTAAATTGAGGCATGTCTTTCAGTGCTGTAAGGAAATTATTCCACTTTGTTGCTGCATTGACCGGCAGAAGATCATCCCAGCTCAATCGAAGGGTCCACAATTCTTGCATGAAAATCTTTGCGGTGATCGTGATAGGAGACAGTAATCCTATAGGATCGAACAAGGTGGATATGGTAGATAGGACTGTTCGCTTTGTTAAAACCTTTGTGGGAGGAAATTTTAATGTGAATTGAAATGTGTCGGTTGACGGTTGCCAACACAATCCTAGAGCGTGAACAATTGCATTATCCTCAATTTGGAAGTTCGTAGAAGTTATTTGATATTCCTTCGGAATTGATGTTAAAACGGCAGAATGATTACTTATCCATTTCTGTAGTCGAAAACCGCCCGCCATGCAGAGATGATTTAGTTGATGGGCTATCTCTTGAGCCTTATCGATGGTATCGACTCCTCCAAATATATCATCTACATATCTGCCTCTTTTTAACGAAGGAACGGCCAGAGGAAATTTCTCTCCTTCGTCTTCTATCAATTGCTGCAATGTCCGGAGAGATAAAAATGGCGAACAAACTAACCCATAGGTAACAGTAGTTAATTCGTACGTAACGAGATTGTTGTCTGGATTGATCCACAGGATCCGTTGGTATTTCCAGTCGTCAGGATGTACCTTAATTTGCCTATACATCTTCTCGATGTCACAAACAAATACATAGAAAAACTTTCGAAACCAGATAAGGATGTCCAATAGATTGGTATGAAGTTTGGCTCCAGTATGCAATATATCATTCAAAGAGCATCCCGATGTAGTGCGACTGGATCCGTTAAAAACCACCCGTAGCTTCGTGGTAAGGCTATGATCTCGCAGAACACCATGGTGTGGAAGTTAGTAGGCATGACAAGGTTCTTGTTGGGACTCGGGAACTAACTGCATATGTTGTAATCGTTCATACTCGGAAATAAATTCGAAGTATGCTTGCGCATAATTTGAATTAGTTGTAAATTTTCGCGACAAATGATTCATTATACGAAAAGCTTTAGATCGAGATTCTCCTAATTGAGTACTGGATTGTTTGAATGGCAATCTTACCACGTATCGTCCATGAGAGTCGCGCGTACAGGTCGATTGGAAATGGGTTTCGCATTCCTGTTCATCCACTGACAAAGATGACGTGTTGAGAGACGGAATTTCCTCTAATTGCCAGAAGCGATGAAGAAGATTATATAAGTCTTCGTTGACTGACACGTGATAGCTGTATCCGCTAGTGGTAGCTCTATTTAAACTCGTTGGTCCGGAAATAATCCAGCCAAGTTTGGTTAATTGAGCAATGGGTGTGTTGGGAGGCCCTTTTTTGATTTTACGTTGAATTATGTGTCCATATATGTCAGCTCCAAGAATTATATCGACGGCTCGCGGCGACAGAAACTCTGGATCTGCCAACTGCAATCCTTCTAAGTGCGGCCATGAAGGTGACTCAATTTTTCCCGATGGAATGGAAGTTGTTAATTTTCGTAAGACGTGCGCTTGACACGAGAATTCATGTGAATTGTCGAAATGAGCTCTCAATGTTAAGCGAACTATTCCTTTAGTTCGGTAGGAATTTTGAGCTCCGATTCCAATTAATGGAATCGACGAATGACTTCGGGGAAGATGAAGTCGTTGTACAACTCTTTCGGAAATTAACGAAACCTCTGAGCCTTGATCAATGAGCGCTCTGATTGTAGTGGTTTCCTCATTGGGCGTCACAATTACTACCGTAGCAGTCGCTAGTAGCACGCAGGATGAAGCGTTTAGTCAACTGGAATTCAATGAATGTTTATCTCCCTGTTTAGAAGAACTAGCAGCCGATTCAGTTGTCTTTGCATCCTCTTTCTTTGACGTAGTGGGCTGAGATTTATCTGTATGAATGGAAGTGTGGTGCTTAGACCCACATTTGAAACAACGTTTTGTAACACGGCAAGCAGAGATTTTATGTGTTCCGAGGCAATTATAACACAGCTTTTTCCTTTTAACCAGCTCGATTCGTTGTGGTGTAGATTTAGTTACGTATTGAGGACAGGAGGCAATATAATGGTTATCTGAACAGAGAAGGCAGGCCTTCGAATTATGAGGAGCAACATCCCTTGATTTTCCATTATAATGTGCCTTAACCGGATTTTGAGGTGCATTAGAAGTAAGTTTGCCCGTGCGAGATTTCTCAAAGGCTTGAAGAGATAAGTCTGGTAACTAAAAATTCACTAAATTGTTTCCACGTGGGCAAATCTTTCGAGGATCCTAAGTAGTGCTCCCATGCTTTTACCGTTTCTGCATCTAGGCGTTGGACAGTAATAAAAACTAGAAAATCATCCCACGTGCTTACAGGTCGTTCCAGGGTTTCCAACGTTCTATAAATTTGCATAACGCTAGTACAAGTGTTCCAATTCGTTGGCGGATTCTTTAGACATGCGTTTTAAAGTAAGCAAGGACTGGAGGGCAGCGTTAACTAATAAGCGCTTGTTTTCATAGAAAGATATGAGCGCGTCCCATGCCTTTTGAAAATTATCTGCCGTTAACATGGTATTTTTCAGTAAGTGAGCTGCGGATCCAATAAGACTCATTTTTAAATATTGTAACTTTTCCACCGAAGTCAGTGTGGGATGATTTAAAATGAGAGAACAGAACAAGTCCTTAAACGAAAGCCACTCGGAGGGCGAGCCATTAAATTTTGGGATATCAATCCGGGGAAGACGCGTGTGGTGATAAACAGTAGTAATGTTGGACGAATTTTGAGCAATGGATTGAGATGAGGATGATCTTGGTATCTCTGTCGAATCCATTTCAAGCAATGAATTCATTTTCTCTAAAGATTCGAGATACTCTTCATAAGTCTGATGAAATATCTTGTCGGTAAAATACGAATGACCCTGTATAGTCAACCTATCGTCGCAAGTCAAAGTAGAAATCGCAACGTTGATAGCATCATTAGTAATGGAGAATTTCTCCCAGTCGTCTTTAAGTGCCGAAATGCGAGTATGCACTCTTTGAGGGGTGATATTAGACAATCCTACTCTTTTCAGATTCTCATATGCATCATTCCCTATCAATTCCATGGTCGCGACTTGCTGATCTAAACGATTCTCAATATGACTAAGCCTCATTTTGCCTACTTAATCCGGCTCGAAGGACAATAAAATGTTTGAGGCGTAAAAGCAAGAGCAAATTATCGCTGATATCCAAGGAGGCAAGTTGAGGGGAAATAAAGGAAAGCGCAAATTCTATATAGAATTAACATTAACTTATATAATCTATCACGAGACACGGTAGTGTCTCGCGCCAAGTATAAGCGACTAAGTATAAGCGACAAGCCTAACCACGCGCGCGACACCGACCGTGTAAGTTTACGCGAGTACACGAGTTGACGGGCCCTCAGAATTTCAGATC